ATTTATTTCAGAACCCCCTTCCCCTCCCCCTTTTCTGATGAAGGGTCTAGGCCCGAAACGTCAGCCTCTCTGCTCCTATGATGCTGCTTGGCCTGCTGTGTTCATCCAGCCCTGCACCTTGTTGTCTCGGATTCTCCAGCATCTGCAGTTCCTACTATCTCTTGCCAGATTTATTACTGGAATGGTGAGATTATCTTCTAAGGACAGATTGAGGAGTTTGGGTCTCTGTTCTTTCGAGTTTAGAAGAATGACAGCTATCACATTGAAACAAACAGAATTCTTAAAAAGCTTGAAGATGCAGGAAGAAGTTCAACCTCAGTGAGGGAACTAGATCCAGGGAACAGAGTCTCAGCATAAGTGGTAAGCCATTTACAGCTATGATGGGGAGAATTTTTTCACTCAAAGAATGGCAAACCTTTGGAAATTTCTATCCCAGAGGGCTGTGGAGGCTCAGTCATTGAGTATGTTAAAGATAGACAACTATAGATATTGAGATACTAAAGGCATCTAGGGACATGGAATAGTTCAGGAAAACTATTCAATTGACATAGAAGATCAGATTTTATCTACTTGAATAGAAGAGAAGGTTCAAAGGATCAAATAGCCTCTCATTCTCCTATTTCTTAAGTTACTATGACTTGTGATTTAAGAATGATCCATGGTTCATAGATAAGATTCTAGTGGTAATTGTATTAACTAAAAGCCTACTGTCGATATTCTAATCAATACTGAATCCCATTCACATATCACCTCTATGCTTTTTAAGCAACATTGGCTTCTGGTATGGCAATGCTTTGATTTTAAAATTCTCATCATTTTTACAAGTTCTTCAATGGCCCTCCCATCTCCCAGCAACTCTCAACATCCTCCAGCCCTACGATTTCCAAAGTCTTATGCTTCTCCAATTCAGGTATCTTGTATACCCCACAGTTTTCTTTGTTTTACCATTGTTATTTGCTATGACCCTAAAAGGTAAAATTCCCCCTGCAGATCTCTCTACTTCTTTCCTTTTTTAGGACTCATCTTAAAAGTTACCTCTTTCGATAGGTTTTTAGTCAGTTCTGATTTCAATTGCATGGTTTAGCATCAAACATTATTTGATAGTATTCCATAAAATTTACTAGGTTCAAGGCGCTATTAAAAGTACAAAAGAAATATTTATTTTTAGGAGTTCAAATCCCATTGTAGTAAGTTGTGAAACAGCATTGAATAAACCTAATAATGTTTTGGCTAGCACTAGGAAAAGTGACCATGCAAGCTGTTCAAGAACATATTTTTTTAACAAATCATCTGCTGCACAGCCTTCCCTCTTTGGGACCTGCGTTGAAACCAATATCTTTACTTTTTGCGTGAAATAAACCAGCTCGTTCAGTAACACATTAAACCTACAATATGAAACTATCCCACCTAGGACTTCAACAAAATTAGGTGGTATGTAATAAATGGAATGTTTCACACTAGTGGTCTGTGAGGTATTACACATTTAAGGTTAAGGCATCTGGTTTGGGCAGAGAAATGCTTTGATTTAAGGCTGGCTTTGTCTGATCTAGGTTGGGAACCAATGAAAATTAGGTTTGTACAGAAAATATTTTGTGGAGGATGTGGAGATGTTATCACAATGATGAAGTTAATAAGATTGTTACTTTTTGGAACTGTGTTGTTAACTTAAGGTAGAAAAAAAAGAGGTGTCATGCGTCCTGTTCTGCAGTCTGCTTAGCAACAGGCCTTGGGTGGTTAAAGTCCAAAGGGAGATCCGTAATGTATTACTAGGGCAATGATGTAAGGTGTTCATGGTTGGAGGCAATAACAGTAATCTCTGTTTTCACAAATGATAGACTTTGAGCCCCCATTACCTTGGAAAGGTGTTGAAAATATTGGGTTGTAAACAGTTATGCTGTAAACTATCCAGTTACTTTTCTGATGAAAAAGAGTTAAGGTCAAGAATAATTGATCAGCAATTTTACCTGGATGCAAGGCTAATGTGTTTCATGTGGCCATGGGGCAGAGGAAAATATTTGTGGTTACAGGCACCCCTAAAAATCAACTAATATCACAGACAATTGTTTTTGTGCTCAGCAGGGAGAAGAGGCTGCTGGTTTTTGCAAATAGCTGGATGCAGGAAAGATACAGTCTCTTAAATAATTCATGACTTGACATGGCCGAAGAGAAAAAGAATTTAGAACACGCTTTACTGCTAGATTTAGAAAACTCCAAGAACTGAAGGAAGCACTCATGGATGATCACTCAGATATCATTACAAGGCAAAATGAGAACCTATTAGAAGTTAGGTGCAAGGTGCAATGATTGACTATTTGCGACAAGGGTTGAAACTCTATGGAGATTGTATTGTATAATTAGTATAAAAGTGAAGTCTACATTTTATTTCATTTAAAATGTAAGTTGCAAACAAAAACGATTATCGCTAATAGTTTTCTTGTAATTTGTTGCAGTAAAAATCTTAAAACATTAAATCTCGTCATGCCAATCTTTTCAACTATTAACTGAAAATTCAAATTTATATATAAATGTTATTGATGTCGGGGAGAATAACGTTATTTGTATATTTTGAAAGCTTTAAATTACACAAATTTTCAACTAAAATGCTTTTATTCTGTTCTATGACTTCAGAACTCAAGGTCCTTACCAGAATGTCTCATTGTCGATTCCATCATTAGTTATGTAATTGTTGTGAAGATATAGTTCTCGAAGATTGGAAAGATGATCAAAAGCTCCTTTAGGAATCTTTTCAAGTTTGTTGTCCTAACAATATTTGAATACAAAAAGAGTACAATGAGGTAAAAGTATTATTTTGAAGTTGAAATAATAGCTTTTTTAAAACATGATTCTTACATACTTTTAAATGCAATCTGAATAATTCCTTTGGCAAATTCTTGGGAACGTACTTCAGGAAATTACTTGACATGATTAATATTCCAACACCATCTGACCCATTAAACATGTGATCAGGAAGTCCTGCGTCTGTAAGTTTATTGTTATGAAGATAAATAGACCTATTAAGATAGAGAAATAATAACTGCTAATAATTTAAAAAAAGGACTTAACATTATCAAATATAATTGGCAATTCCAAAATCTAAAAAGATACCCTCAAAAAGGAAGAATCCTCAGGATTAGATTTTCTCAAATCTACTCAAATAGGAAGGTCACATTTTAACAAATACACTATATTTCTATACCAGATGTATTGGTTTTCTTTCATACATTGTGTATTCTGGTTGGGGTAACATTCACATGGCTGATTTGATTACAGCTGATATTTGGTTCATTTTAAAAATTGATGTATCTGTTTTGTCAGCCTATTTCTATAACCTAAGACTCTGTGAAAAGATATTTAGGCAACTAGGTAGAAATTGCGGAGCATTGTCTTCTGGCTGTCCCAAAGTTCTTCAGTCAATCAATTGTGTGTGAAGTGTTGTTGTTGTTTTATAGATAAACATGGCAGCTATTTTATTTTTGATTTAGTTGCAATGTTCACTAGTTTACCAACCTTGTGCCTAATAATCCTTCTGTTTCCTTCCAATTTACTTCCTCCTCTCCTGAAACACTGGATGATAGCTCCATGGACCCCATCCATCCTCTAATTAATTTTTATCCTACAGAATGAGTAATGACAGGCTAATTCACTTTGAGGCCACGACGACCACTTTGAATTTTGTCCTCACTCAAAATTCCCATGAATACCCCTCCTTTGTGTCACTGAACAATGGTTGAGAATAGGATCAGGACGTACTGAAGTCAACTACAACGTCTCTTACCTGTGCTCAGGTCAGTTACACAATTCAAGCCAGGGCTTAATGCTGGGGTATTTCTTGCCTGCATTGTGTAAGTAATTTCAGATACGGGTAATAGTGAACTATTGTAATTGGCTTTAGTATGTTTGATTCTATTCAGAATAATTATTCAGTAGCACCTAGAAAATTTATCCAGGTGAATTAACATGATCGTATGTAGATAAATACCACAAAACTGATGGTGTTTGCATTATTTGTATTTTGAATCTTTACATTATTCTGGATTCGTAACAACAATTCTATCTTACTCTCAGCTTGACATTAGTGACAAATATCTCTTCAGTTCTTAAATAAGTTGAACATTTGGTCAGAAAACATGAAAATACAATTAAAATATCATCCTTCTGGATTAAAATGTGCTTCATATCAGCTGGATTTCGGTGTATCTCCTGGTTTACAGTTCACAACAAGAAAGTTTCAACATTTTAAGTTTTGTAAATAGCATAATATTCCTATTTAAAATGAGTGATAAAGTATTGGATAATAATGAGATTTGTCACAATGGCTTGATTTATTCTATACCTTTGGTAACATATCTAATCAGTTCTATAGTTTCGTTCCCTCTACTGCACCTTAACAATCTTGAAAGGGCACAAATACCATTTGGACCTTTCTCTCTTCCAATATGCTGCGGAGCTAGCTGCTTGAAGGCACAAGGGCTGACCTCTAATCTTACGGAGAAGTATATCTAAACTCCACTGAGGATTTCCCCAAAGCATAGTTAAGATCCCATGAGAACCTTTAGAGAAAAAACAAACCTGCTATGTCTTCCTAACAAACTTTTAAAAATGCTGCATCATAAGCACTTAGGCCTTTCTTGTCATAACATGAAAATTATTGTTTATCATTTTGGTAGATACACTAATATGATATCTCTCTGTGCTCTATAGTAATGTAGATCTTAACCTTTGTATATGAAGTAAGCGAGCTGTACACTTGAATATATAACAGTGTCAGAAGAGTGTAATGCAGTATCTTAAGCATTTCTTTGTTTATTTTGCAATGGGACATTTTTAGGCCAGAGTCAGTTAAAAGGCAACATTTGTGACAACTCTTTCATAAGATAGCCCTAGACTGAGAGTCCCATCATGTTTTGTCTCTGATGGAAGAGACAATGTTTTTAAAATTATATGATCTTTAAATTTGTTGGTATTCCTGGTCTTCTGTTTGATGGTTATATCTATTGGTCACTAAGTGGTGGCTCAGTTAGTTAATAGCAATCTCACTTCTCAGGACGCTATAGGTTTAAGGCCAACACTAGACTCTGAGCACAATAATCAAGGGAGTGTGTCACGAGATGAGGGCTTTGCTGGCTTGGCCAGCATTTATTGCCCATCCCTAATTGCCCAGAGGGCAGTTAAGAGTCAACCACATTGTTGTAGGTATGGAGTCACATGTAGGCCAGACCAGGTAAGGATGGCAGTTTCCTTCCCTAAAGGACATTAGTGAACTAGATGGGTTTTTCTGACAATCAGCAATGGATTCATGTTCATCATTAGATTAATTCCAGATAATTTATTGAATTCAAATTCCATCATCTTCCATGGCGGAATTCAAACACGGGTCCCCAGAACATTTCCTGGGTCTCTGGATTAACAGTCCAGCAATAATACCACTGGCCAGGCCTGGCCTATTGGTAGTTGTAAGAAGAAAATCAATGCACTATTTGAGGAATAGAGGAGCTATCCAAGGCAACATCTATCCCTTAAGAAACATTACAAAAACAAGACATGGAATCTAAAAATCTTTGTATAAAAGTCACAAGGAAAATTGAGTTGAGTGCTTTGTAAATCATATATTGCAGTCGGGTTTGCAAATCCCCTGGCAAAAATTTAAGTCTTTGTCTTAACTGTCACAAAATGTTTAATTGGGTAATACGTCAACTGGTGTAACACTGAGCCATAAGACCAGAAGGATTCTTGCTGCATTAGCTAATCTTAGCCAGGACGGGCGTGAGAACATTGAGTTGGCTAAAAGGTTAACACAATGCAAATTAAAGGTCCGCCAAGATTCCAGATCACAGATTAGTGACTCCCGTTAAAAAGAGCAATAAAATGAACAGGGTGGGGCTCAGTTCTGGCATTCTCTTCAATCAAATATCCTCCAATGCTGCCTTGAGCAAGGACTGACAATATTGGTGAAAATGTATCCTAATACAGGGTAGCAATTCTAGGAAGAAAGTATTGAAAACTAGGGGGAAATGCTTTCTGCCATTGGACATGGTCAAGTGAGCACTTTGTACCAATCAACTTCAATATCCTCTAGTGATATTGGACCCAAAATGATAACTCTGTTTCTCTATCCACAGATACTGCCAGATCTGTTACATTTCTTCAGCACTTTATTCAATATTTTCTGATTTGTTTCTCTTAGATAAATACAGACTGGTTCACTTGACAAATCATACCTTAGATTTGGCTTCTGCCCAAAAGTGAGGGGATAGATCTTTGTAAGGTAATTTGCTGCAACATCAGCGCTCACCAAGGTTTTTGGCAGGTATTTTGGAGCAACTGTAAGCTGAAAAATATACAACAGCCAATCAGTAGATCACTGTCCTGTCTGGTTAAAATAAAGGAATCAGTTAAACTCAAGTTCAAGTCAGACACCGCTGACACAAACACACTTCTTGATTACTGGCCAACTTGTGGATGAGGAAGTCTTCATTCAATGAATTTAGCAGTTTTCATTGTGGTGTGACAACTATATATTTTGTTTGTGAAAGGAGAGGTCTAGCTTTCAAAGAACTTGTTTTGTAAATCACACTAAGATGTCCATTAAACATCAAACAGTGCCTAAATGAGCTTTTCCCAGATTTTCCAATTCTGGGATCGGCCATTTTGAAAGCATGTGAATGCATTTAAAATAGAGACAGCTTCACACTATCCACACATTGTCAACAGGAAATAGTAAAGAACTTTCAAACATATTCTGGGCCATCGGACCAACAGACCTATTAATCTGACCTGGATTTGAATCAATTCCTCAGGATAAAAAACAATAATGTGCTAATCTAGACCTGTTTGTGGTTCTTGAAGTATAATAAAATGTTGAATCTGATCTGGATAACAAATTATTTGTTTTTAATTAACAAACTATTACAGCTAACGGATGAATACAGATGTTAATTGGTCCTAGCTTCATTTTTAGGGTACCCTGGCACCAAAAGTTGATTAGGAGAATTCTATCAGAGATAGTAGGAACTGCAGATGCTGGAGAATCTGAGATAGCAAGGTTTAGAGCTGGATGAACACAGCAGGCCAAGCAGCATCAGAGGAGCAGGAAAGCTGACGTTTTAGGCCTAGACCCTTCTTCAGAAATGCTGAATTCAGAAATGCTGAAGAAGGGTCTAGGCCCGAAATGTCAGCTTTCCTGCTCCTCTGATGCTGCTTGGCCTGCTGTGTTCATCCAGCTCTACACCTTGTTATCTTAGGAGAATTCTATCCTTCTTTGTCCTGTTTAAATATTTTCTAAGCACTCTGTTCAGAGATATTATTACATATCAGGAGCAGGAGAGACTTCAACTGAGGATCCCCTGGCTCAGAGATAGGGACACTACCACTGTATCACAACAGCCCAACTTTGTTCTGTTTATTGAATTATCTGTAAGAAAAATCACATCTGCTTTCTGAGAGTATTCCAATAATGTATTAGATTAAGCATGTTTAGATTGGTTTTAAATTAATACACAATGGATGATTTAAGTTATGACCGTGAGAGTGCAGTAGAAATAATGGTGAGGGCATCAGTGTTCCCTTTTATTTTAGAGAAAATTGGAAATCAGCCTGGTAGTCACACATGAAGCATTAAATGTGGAAATCAGGAATTTGGAACCTGAAATATCCTGCTCCTCCAGGAGCTATACTACAACCGAGCATCACCTAAAGATACCGCATTTAATTACAATGCAAGGTTACAGGGTTTACAAACTACGTACCATCTAAATAAAGCGCAGTATTTTAGGCTTGTCTATTCAAAACAATGCAAAATTTTAGTTGTGTGATATGTCTTAATTATTGCCAACAACGTCTTTGGCACTAAAATAAAACTTCTACAAATGTAGAGTCTCATTCCTTTAGATATCAATTACTGTTAGAGATGTAAGTGATTTAAATAACTATTTTAAAAGTCTTTGCCTCTTTCATGGTCTCTGTTAATCTAATCTAATTAGATTGTTAATAAATCTCTCTCTCGTCTCTTTTCAATTAACTATTTTGATTTCCATTTTCTGGTTTTGACTGTGTGGGGCAGCCAGATTTGGAATTCCCTGCTTCACCCTACCTCCAGTCAACTTTTGAGAAGTTGGGTCAGAAGCAACAGGATCTACTTGCCTGCTTGTAATTCTTTACAAGCTTCAATGACAGCAATTCATTTCCAGTCAGCCTCCAGGTTGCAATGAGCAGCAACAGCTAGTTGGTGATCTTGTGCTGGTCAGATATGGTTTGGGACTTGTTGCTTTCCACATAAAAGAGTTGCTACATTTACATTGATATAAATGGTGCATTGCAATTTAATTGCATCATCTGTGATTTGAGCTGCTATTCCTCCCTTGCCTGAAACATTAATAGTAGAGGAGCAAAGGCATGGTTCACCTATAATAAAATATGATACATATAGTTTTTAATATGTTATGAGTGAATGTTTATTTTGTGGTTTAGGTATTTATGTTTGCTAACCAATACAATGTTATTGATATATAGTTTATCAAATTACTTTATGAACCAACCTATGTTCTCCAGTAGCCTTACTTTGGCATCAATGAGAACATTGAAAATTACATTAGGGTGAACAGATTGACAAAACATTGGAGGAACAGGAAAGGCTCTTGAGGATGCCAGAGGTGATAAATGTACATATCGATGATCTATTTCTCAACAGCCTTCCAACATGCTACATCATCAACGTACAGCAATATATCTTTAACGAAATTATTTCTAAAGTATTAGGCAGAACCCACATAACAGAATCATAACAACATTTGAGTTCAATCCATTTTTTTTTTAGGAATTTTTTTTTTCTGTTTTTAACCACTTCCCACAGTTGGTGATTTCTGGCTCCTCATAACTGATGTGCATATTTAATCCTCATTTATACCACTCTGGAACCATTTTTTAGACAAACTATTCTTTGGCTTTCCAGCCCTTCAAAATGTCCAAATACCAAATAATCTGTATCAAGCATTGTCAAGTGCTACCAGTGGCTTGCTGATTATGAAGATATTCCAGTCACCTTTTCACTCGCCAGCTGAACTCAAATGATGAAACTCTGCGTGCAATTTTCCTCTGCTGTTTCTACAATCCTATAAAAGTGTCAATCAACAAGATGACTAAAGTATCAATAACAGAAATTAAATCATTTGATACCTGGTGTGAAGATGAAAAGAGAAGTGGCAAGAAGCATAATTAATTAGCAGAGATAGTAAGAACTGCAAATGCTGGAGTCAGAGATAACATAGTGTGGAGTTGGAGGAGCACAGCGGGCCAGGCAGCATCAGAGGAGCAGCAAAGTTGATGTTTCGGTTCGGGACCCTTCCTCAGAATTAATTAGCATGTTGGCCGGGGCAAGACGCTGACCTCCTCTTACCATTTCAGTAATTATATGTTCCCGGTGAGAAGGGCCATGGATAACCTTCTTGATCTACCACCAATTAAGGTCTTTAAGTTGTCAATCAATGGCCATTAAGAGTCTAAATGTTCCTTCCTGGCAGGAAGAAAGGTGACTAGTTTCTCAACTGGAAAATCAGAGCTACCACTCTGGATCCTCCAAATGCTCAAATCACAAGCTCTCACATCTGACCATCATGGTCCCCATTCTCCCCGTGACCTTCAGCTTGCTAGTAGAGTTTAAAAATTGCTTACCTTCTTGCCACTGGATCCCCCAAGGAGTAGGCCTCACTGGAGGTACTTAGGACACAGAAGATACAGGCCTCTGCTGGACAGTGTCAAGGCATGAGTCAGGCCAAGAAAGACACCTCAGCTTTGCCTGCCAGCTCTTATTGAGCTGATTGGCATGTGTTAGGTCAACTTTTCTTAGCAGTGGTGTGACATGTTAGTTGTCACCTAACATGCACACATCATCAAAATGGGAAATTTGCACCAGGTGTTTTCAATCGAATAGTGAATAACCCCTCAGCATTGCTTTCCATTGTCTTTATAAATTGATTTTGCCTGAGTGTCATATCTTTCCATTAGTATTTTTCCTTAACATGCATAATAAGGCTTGGCATACATAAAAGGTTTTACTTTGTTGACACAGCTGGGGAGAAGGAAAACTTCGCCTGACTGAGAACTTTATGATGTTCTTACAAGCTATTTTTTCTTTTTAATCTAATTTTTCAATGGTTTAATGTTGATTCAATGTTTATTTTCACAAGATAAAAATATGTCAAATGATTTAGCTTCTGTATTTGATACTTTAGACATCTTGTTGATTATCACTTTTATAGGATTGTAAAAACAACAGCTTTTTGAAAGCAATTTCTTTTTTAGTAGCTCCACACATGCCATTGATACAATGTGGTTTATTATTTCTCTCCATAGTGTATACCAGATGAATGTGCATGGATCTGCCATGAGTTGACGTGGAGGTTATCTAAGGCCATCGGGTGGGTGGTGGAGCATAAGTTTCCATGAGTTGACGTGTAGAGGCTAAGGAGAGCAGGAATAAGACCTTTGGACTTTATTTTTCGAAAGAATACACAATCCAGAACATGGTTCACAAAGTTTTTGAGGAGTGATAAACCACAAGTTATGATGAAGTTGAACTGCCTTCATGGAAATAGTGTGTGACTGGGAGATGCTAGACCCCGCAATGGAGTTGACAATTTAGGAGTGCAGGATGTAAGTTCACTGCACATACCCTTACCCCATATCAATGAAAGTTGGGGGTGGTGGGAATGGGATGGGAAACTCAGAATCCGATCCCATACACTATTTTTAAACCACCCCGCCTCTGTTCTGACATGGTCAGAGACATAAGCATTTGTGCCAAAAAGTATACTTTATCTATATGAACTTAAAATATTTATAAATAACGCATATTTAAAAATTTTTATTGGTTCATGCTTTATAGGAGTAACAACAATTTAGAAATATTTGTAAATGGCATCAAACATACAGCAGAGATATGCTCAGTGAACCCTGGATATAGAAAAGTATTCCTGATAATCAAACCACAGGCAAACCCACCGGAAAAAATAGCTTTATAATTTTACAGTCAAGTCATTAGGGAGTATTTTCTGTATTCATTTGTCACCCATCATGTGTGCTGTTTGCATCATAAATATATGAAGGTTTTATTAACATCAACAGAAACTCTTCTGACATATTGAAACTATTTTAATTTCCAGTAATTCTGGTTCATTTATTATATTTTCCCTTTGTGGTTTCACCGAGCCACAAAGCTCCATGTGGTGAAGGCAGACTGGAGGACTAATCCCAGGGATTTGTGGTAGATAGAGTGTGTGGACCAGGTGGCAAGGGATGACGAGTTTGCCAATTCTACAGTTCTGGGTATGACTGGTCATCACGGCACCACCAGCTGACAGCACAGTTGAGATCAGGGATTCAGTATGTGGAGGACCACAAGAGTGAACCCATGACCCACCACTCTGTAGCACTCTGCCAATGTACCACCGTGAAATCATTTTTGATCTTTCTTTTGCTCATGAATTCTTTCCATGTAAGTAGAATTGTTGGCAGCATTAGATGGTAAAAGCTTTTACAATTGTAAGCATTGAATTTAGACTCCAAATACTCTCATCTGCTGGTTTATTTAATATTAATGGCTGACGCAATTTACAGTGGTCCATGATATTAGTTAATGGCACAAAAATAGAACCCCCTAGAGTGCAAACTGCAAATTTATGAGTGAGTGGGACTAAGTAATTCAGCTTAGTGCAAAGCCAAATGAATTGGATAGAAGGTTCGTACTTATATACAACCTAATTATGTTGCTCAGAAACATCTTGCATGTAACGCATTAAAATTTTTGTTAAGTAGACACACACAGTAGCCATTGCACATGCAACAATTTTGCTCAAATGTCAATGAAATAAGAAATCAACTCATCCATATTTTGATCAAGGGAGGAATAAGACAGTGAAAAACTCTTCTCTTTGAACTGTCCCAGAAGATCTTTCATATCTACCTGAAGTGCTAGAATACGAAGGCAGCATCTCAGTCTAATTTCTCATCTGAAGAATTATAACTTAGGCAATCAGCATAATAAGGTTTATATCTACAAACTTGCCATTGGGTATTTTACTTGTAAATATTTATTTAAATATAATACAAGAATATTTACATCTTACTATTGTACTAACTATATTTAATCTGAATGATTATAAACACAGATGGCCCTTTAATACCTCCTATGTCTTTACGTCATGTAGCTTTCACCTCTGTTCAAGATTTTGTCCAATTTATCTTGAAAAACCTGTTAGTGAGGATTAAAGTTAGAAAGTATGGGCAGAGACAGCCCTGATAACTGTATGTATTCACTTTTGTTTGGAACAGCATGTAATTTTACTGTTTTTATTCAGTTTCTCCTGGTCCTTACGCCAACTGTGGATGAGATAGCATCTGGCCAATCTACATCCAAATTCATTACAAGAGCAGTTTGCACAAAGTGACAGGAAAGAAGCAATGGTCAGTGAACTGCTGATATTTCCTCCCTGGGGAGAAGCCGCTGGCTCTACTCAACACTGCTACAACAAAATGACAGAGATCAGAGCATTGGGTAAGTTACAGGTACTTGTACCACCACTCCACTGCTCCATCAAATTAGCTAAATTGTTCTGGAACTGAATGAAAAGTATTTCATACAAGTTAGACAAGACAAATTAGCTACATTATAATTTTGTACATAATTTATAATTACCAATGCAAAAAGAATGTTGAGCAAATTTATGACATCTGATTAACATTTTTCAACATTCATAGTAATATAAATAACTAAAGAAATCAAAATTATATTTTCTTTATCGTTTTATAAGCTGAAAAGTGCCTGCTCTGAGATCCAAATCAAAGGGAAGTGGATGGCACAATAAAGTAGAATTTAAAGGTAACATCTGGTGAACTTTACAATTCTTCAAAGATGGTAGATATCAATGCTTTAGAATTCAACTCTTTCTATTTTTGTGCCAAGCACACTAAGCGCACCCAGGCTTAGTTGATGAGGGGAAAACATACTGTCTCACCAATGTGTCAAATTTTTAAACGGCCTGTCTCATGATAAGATTGATACATGAAGCACCATATTATGGACAGTTTTGTGCTGTGATCTTGCAGTTCCTTTGAGTTTGGTCATTTCTTTCAGGACCATTATAGCCAACATGTATTATAGGTTCTTATCAATTGATTAGGTTTATATTTGATTAGAAGGACAATGTTATAACCTGCCTTTGTCTGGCTTGTAATTTAGTTTGATAAACTGTATTCAGATAATGCCATGAAGCTGTCTGAAGTAATTAAAATCTTTTACCTTATTGTTCGCCAGATATAAATACAGCAAGTTCTCAAGAGAACAAAATGCATCGTCTGGAAGCCCTTCAAAAGTCAAACAATGGAAAATTCAATTGTCAAGCTTTGACATTAAAATTTTTTATTACATCATATTGGATCATTTAATTTGTTAACAGTAAATTATTACTGTGCTGTATTATTTCTTATCCTTAATTCATATTTTGGAGATAATTCAGGTTTTTTGCATAAAATAAACTGCAGTGATTTATCTGCAATACTAAGATGTATGTAACCATGCTATACTGGATACTTTGGGGATATCTAAGGAGAGTCCTGGAGAAAGAAATACAAAATTTAGGTTTCCAAAAGATAACTTATTGGTTTCAGTGTCACAGGGACAGTAAATATCCTATCATTCAATGATGTAACAAAGTTTTCTCAGTAAAATTGCTCCTAATACACAATATAAAAACTTAATAGAGCAGATACTGGAAATTTGAACTAAAAACAAAACATGCTGTAGAAATCCAGCAGGTCTGCCAGTGATAGGGCTGCCCATAACTGAGTAGCACAAAATGGCTGTTAGGGATGCCGTAACTAAAGGTCACAAAATGTCTGATGACTGACTAATGCTGACAGTAACATTTCTCAAGGTGGCTGAATGTGCAATCATTCTTGCAAGAACGTAGATAATAACATGTAACATTTGATTATTCACAAGTAGAACAATAACAGCACTGCACATAGCAGCTAACAAGTCAAGTTGCAGCTTTTGAATTATTTAATCAATCTGTAATGTACTAAAAAATCACTAAAAGATTCAAACCAGTTTCACACAGTAAAAATGCCCTCTCTTATCACTGCAGTAAGACATTGAAATGTGGATTGGACATTAAGGTATAACCACACAACTTTGTTGGAACTGATATTCTTCTGCAGAAATTTTAAAATTCCTGATCTAATTAATTGGCAATTCTGAACAGTCATCATTGTGAAAAGTCTCAAGGACATCATGAGAGACCATGTTTGGAACACAAGCCTGTCCATCTCAATGAAGATGCTGTACCAGAGAGCCAATTACAAAGAAACAAGTCTGCTCTGCTGACCAATAGTAATCAAATGGGGGTAGGGGCAGGGGCGCGTGTGTGCTCTAAGTTAAAAATGTATACGTTAAGACATTTTAGACTTTGTGTGTGTCTTTTTGCTGTATGCTATAACCATGCTGTATTTGGAAATAAATGTCACCTGAAATCGTCCCACGACTCGGAATCTCACTGAAAATATGGGATCTAACAGGCAGCATGTGTGGAGTGAGAAACAGAATTAACATTTTGAGTCCAGTATTACATTTCTTCAAACCTCAGCAGGATTCCAAAGAAGAACCACACTGGTCACAAAATTAATTCTATTTCTTATTCCACAGATACGGTCAGACTTGCTGGGTTTCTCCAACACTTTGTATTTATGTCATCCTTGATACATGTCAGGCGTCTGAGAATCAAAAAGAATGATCAGACTTGAATTTTAAACATATATATAATATATATAAGCAAGAAAATATTTGCAAGAGAAAGAATCAAATATCATCAGATCTTCTAAAAGACTGAAAGAGGTATTGTGAGGAGCACTGATTTTAAGACAATGAAAATGTGGACAGGAATAGCATGAAGAATGGAATATTTAGATTTAATAGAATCATTTGTTACAAAAAATGTAATCATGTTATCACTGTGATGAACATGTGACTCCATTGCTCAGTTCTTATTCATTTTCTGTACATATAGACATTAATACTTTAGATAGTCATAAAAAAATACTGCATGTTGTTACTGTGAAGTTCACATCAACTCTTTGTTGATGGAATCATCACTATGATTTATTGTATACTAAAGGACACAATCATGTTTACCCCAAGATTGTAATAGAATGGCTAAATTAAACTTTTAAAAACCCTGACAATCCAGCTATTATAAAACTGCACTGTTATAGCAGATATCAAGTGAAAAGGAGGGAAACTAGAGGGGCTAACATCAATGGTTTTCTTTTGTGTATATTTGAAGAATGGCTATGCAGAAGAATGGGGAGAAAGCAAGAAGAAGCATGTCCATGTGTCACAGCAGTCTTGTTACTCTGATTATTTCAGGGATGTCTAAAGAGGGTCTTAGAGAAAACAAGAATAATTTATTTATTACAAATTTCAGGTTCCATTAGAGAGATTCTCTTATATTCAGTGTCACTGGGCAGTTCCATAAGTTGACTCCTCGTGCTCAATCAGAAGCTAATCTTAGAGTCTTAGGTAGCATGAACTAAGGTTATTATGTTAAGATCACTTATTGTGTTTATTGATACTGCATATTTCTCTTACCTTTCTGCAAGTTGCACTGATCATTTCTATGTGAGATGAACAAAATTGCAAACTAACAAACAGGCTCACCTTACACACAATGTGTGAGCAAGTAGCATGCACTTTAAAATGAATTGCATTCATATAATGATTGTAAAGTAACAAAGAATACACTGTTAATGTATTTAGTGGCGAGTACTAAGCTTTACAAATATAGCGCACATGCAACAATGACTCAACATTGAGATTATTTCAGGTTTCTCATGAGCTGTAGAGAAAGCCTGTTTACAGATCTAGACTTACTTCAGACTGCTTTTTTTCAATTTAGAAGGAAAGCCTTAAGTTTAACTAATTCCTCCTTTAGTTCTTTGTATTAGAACCATAGAGAATAGGAGAAGGATTAGGCCATTCAATATGGTCATTGCTGATCATCCAACTCATCACCCTTTTCCTGCTCTCCCATTATCCCCTGTGATACCTTTACCCCTAAGAACTATATCTAATTTCTCTTGAAAAGAATCAGATGAAAACCACTTTAAATCAGAACTTGCTCCCAACCATCCCTTTCAACAAACGTGTTCAGTGAAGGAGAGTCACTGTAACTTTCTAAGTATGAATGCTTCTAAACCATATCAGCAAATTCGATGTAATTAAAACTGATCTGCAAGAGTAACAATCAGATAAACATTCAGTTTGGCTCCTACTAACATGCTTAATGAATATCTCTAGATGCTTGTGCGTTATAGAAAGTTAACTCTCTGAAGGCTGAAATTAATGTAACAGTTCAGAATTAAACAGCAATTTATCCTAGATCAAAAAGGCATTTATCTCAAGCTATAATAACAAAACACAGAAAATTTGACAAGATATGAATGCACAAGAATATGGATATGACAAGTAGTAATTTTGTGGACTTATACAATACTTTTAAAGGGGAAATTTGTTTTAAGGCAAGTGCACTTTCTTCTTCCCCCTTCCTTTTACCCCAAATGTATAATCAGTTTGAAAGATCCATAACAAATCTGTTGAAAGTGAATGGAAGCTGTTGGCACTTTTCAATATCATAATCATAAATCTTAAGTATTGTATGTTAAATGCAACTATACCATGTAGTAAAATATTAACCATCATTGGAGAAAGAACATATAGATGTGATTAGGTATTTAGAACCTAGATACAAATTGGAACATTTTCTTTCTTGCTGATAGGAATTCTCCAATATCTTTAAAATATACTAAAATATTAAATGGCTCAATTTTCATATCATGACAATGAATAACAGAACAGCTCTTAGATTTAAAAAATATATTTCCGGTGATCAGTTTACACTTTAGAAACAAACTTTAAAAAAATAGACTATGCAAGTCTAAACTAGTTAGCTGATAAGGAGAAATAGAACTGGATCCACAGGAGGAGATATTTGTATTAGAATTAATATACAACAGGCCAGTTGAAAAGAGAGAGTCAGGCAGTATGTAAAATGAGTTTTCGGCTTACTATTCCTCATTCTGTGCTATCCACCAAGTCCAGTTATCTGCTCTCCAGAGTACACTTACAATCTGGAAAATATCATTTCAAGAATAACTAGAAGTTCATGGGAAATTTTGATGGAGGAGACCATTACAAGTTTCTTTATTCACGCATGGGGTGTGAGTTTCAGCGGCTAAACTAGAATTTATCATCCAATCCTAATCCCAGTTAATAGTCATAAATGTTGTTGTGGGTCTGGGGTCACATATTGGCTAGGCCAAGTAAAAATATCAGATTGCTCTTCCTTAAGGACATTAGTGAACTAAATGTTTTTTCATGACAATGATCAGTGGATATGTGGTCACCAGCAGGCTCACCATTTATTTATAAATTCTCATTTCACCAGCTGCTATGGTGAGAATCAAACCCATGACCCCAGGACATCAGTTTGGGGTTCTGAATTATTAAGCTAATGGGATTACCATTAGCCCAACATATTCCTGAATATTATGGTTATTGCAAACTGTCAGTGTTCAAAATCTTTATATGCTTGGCTCCCTTGTAACCATGACAATACTAATAGAAAAGCCAGATTATTTATATCTGGAGTCAATAGAAATAACAATTTGCCTTATTGTGAGAAAGGGATGCTGAGAGCCTCTAGCTGCCTGGAGCACATGGTGATATGCCCTGTCTGTAGTGCTATTAATAAGCAATATGCACATGTATTGGGGAGGTGATGGCCTAGTGGTATTATCGTTGGACTGTTAATCCAGAGATCTAGATAACATCCTGGGGACGCGGGTTCGAATCCTGCCGTAGCAGATGGTGGAATTTGAATTCAATAAATATCTTAAATTAAGAACCAAATGATAACCATGTGTCAATTGTCAGGAAAAACCCATCTGGTTCACTAACGTCCTTTAGGGAAGAAAACTGTCATCCTTACCTGTTTTGACTTACATGTGACTCCAGACCCACAGCAATGTGGTTGACTCTTAACTGCTTTCTGGGCAATTAGGGATGGGCAATAAATGCTGACCTAACCAGCAATGCCCTCATTCCATGAATGAATAAAGGGAAAAAAAATGTACAATGTGTTCTATGCTTTAATTGTTACTTATGGAACACTTTTTTCACCTCATAATCTGCAAATTTTCTGCCTCAATCTTTTCTTTTCCTTATCTTTCCTCATTATATCATTAATACTGGGGGCAATTAATCCTTTATTGTTCCTGTTAAATTCCAAATGTTTTCTCATGTGTTCATT